TACCCCCTGGTATCTCGTCCACAAGGCGCACCTCTAATTTCTGAATAGCCTCACGGATATGCGCTTCCAAGCGGCTTGTGAGCAGGACATGGATTACGGGGAGGTTGGGTTTACGAAGAGCTTGGCCAAGTAGGGAGATGAGATCAGCAACCTCGGTTTCGGATGTGCATTCATCAATGGCGTCAATAACAAACACCAAAGACTCGCGCAGTCTGAAACGGAGCCTCCAGAGAGGTTGGAGAAACAGCGCATCCATCTGTTCGGGAAGTGACTTGTCGGGGCCTAGAAGAGCGGGATTCTCGCGTATAGATTTTTTCAGGTCCTCCAGGACACTTGGATAATTGCTAGCAAGCTGATAGGCCAGCGTGGCAAAAAAGTAACCAGTCGTGCAGCGTTTTAGAGTGCTTGCGCGAGAAGAAGAAAGTTCCTGCAAGCCGCCTTTCGTTAGTTGTGTGGTCCGCGACTCTCAGAGCTCTCATCCTCTCAGCTACAGTGAATGCAACAGCGGACTTTCCGACGCCTGCCATACCATGCAGCCAGATCAATCGACTCTCTCGGTTGTCAAATGATTTGAGTAAATAATTGAGAACGTCCACCCGGGTCCCTTCCAAACATTTTGGATGGGGCTGGCGTTCGGGGGAGTCATATTCAGCCCCCTTGACAGCGACCTGGGACAGATTCTCCCAAGTGCCTGCAGACGACGGAAGACCTGTTGATGAGGTCAGAGAGAGGGAGAACGAAACAGATAGATACTGACATAGATTTTTGATTCATACACCAATGTTGTGACATAGATTGTGTGATGGAACGCAACTAGACGGGTTCGGCAGCGAGGTTAGATGTCATATGAACAGCGGTTATCCCGGGGTGCAACATACCCTGTACGAAGACGCAAAACCGAAGGATCGTGGCGAAAAGATTGAGCTATGAAGTGATGGCCCACTGATAGGATAGTCCAAAGGTTACTTGGGTCTAGGACGCGAGTGTTATAGGAAGTAGCTAGGAGATAGTTGAAGAACCTCGGGAGAAGCGAGGAATTAAGTGGAATGCAAACAGCTGTAATTAAATAAGGGGGCGATAACTTCTCTCGAAAACAACACGGTCCGGTCCGTTTGCGGGCGTGACGCTTCGGCAAACGCCGTTTCGTCGGATGACGTGAGCGACGAACGTCTTTCTTGCTTCGATCGCGGTGGCGCAGACCCCCGGAACCGCAACAGCGTTCTGAACGGTCGTTGTGTGTTCCTCGTCGTCCGTTTCCTCGATCGTCGGCCCCGCTTATCTTGCTGTATGTTTTTTGCTGCGACAGGACGGTTGCTGACCTGGCTGCCTCCAGATCTCACGCAGACTCGAGTCGGACTCGTCTGCTAACCCCTCTGCTGTCACCAACCAAGGAGGCCTGCACGTTGGCGGAGCCCTCATCCTCGTTGCTGCGTTAGTCCTCCTCATCCTCCTGGTCACCTACCACTGGTGGAGGCCGAGCATCCCCGTCAATTCTTTCTGTGGCTGCTGTCTTCCGCCCCCCCGCCGCCGGAGCAGGTCAAAGGACTGCGCCGACATCGTCGTGATGACCTCCCTCAACCACACTGCCGCTGCCGCCACCACTCACCTCACCACTGCTGCCACGGTGGGCTCCGTCGCTGACCACGACTCGTTCTGGAGTGCTGGTGCTGGCGAAGTCGAGCATGTCGAGTCTGCTGAAGCGCCCAGCAGAGGCCGAGGAGCTCAGGACTCACCTGATGCGGACCACGCCCTGCCCTTCCCACTTCGATTTCGACCAGATGGTGAGCCCGAGGTCCAGTACATCTCCATGTGAGTCGTCTGTCTTTCTCCAATTGCCATCTTCTATTTGACTGACTCGGATGAATGCCACCATGCTAAGCTCCAATATGAACGTCAAGACACTGAAGAAGCAGTGCCGCCAGCTTGGACTCACCTCCACTGGCACCAAGTCCGTGCTTTGTGAGCGGCTGGAAGACTTCAGTCGAGACCGAGATTCATGGGATAGGTGCGTGAATAGGGCTCGCTTCAAAGGCACAATTTTGGCTCACCTTGGTTATCATCCTTCAAGGCTCCGGCCAGGGGCTCACAGAGCTCACAAGGGCCCACGAGTGGGACATTCGACAAGCAAGGCCAAGGCGGGCCGCATGAAGCAGTCAACCCAACGCCGCACCCAGTTGCTGCTTGGTACTGAAGCAGCCCTCACCTCTGCTCCTGCTGCCACCACCAGCCGCTCAAAAGACATGCGCACGCAAGATGAAATTGCAGCGCTACTGCCCTGGGTGAGCCCCTGCCTCTGGCTCCCTTTCATATCTGATGTGTTCGTTGAGCAGGCCGATGCCATCAATAGCAAGTATCCATATGCGTTGACGGATGGCACACCTGAAGTAGCAAGCACCCCGTCTGCTCATCCTAGCACAACTGCTGACAGCACCAGTTCTTTGCGGCATTCTGCTGATGCCCTCTTCGAAGATGCCATCATCCAGAGCGTGGGCACGAGACTCGTTGGGATTGTCCAAGACGCCCTCCTACAGCCAGGTGCTAGATCAACTAGCACCCATGAGGCTGGTATTGACGAAAACCCAGCGGTAGTGTTTTTTTGAGGTCCACATCAAGTTCTCGTGAGCTGACCGATGTTTCAAACAGGATGCTGTGAGTGCCGTGCCACCACCACCACCACCACCACCTATGCCAGAGCCAGTCAGTGACAAGCTGCGCATTGTCACGCTCGGGGATGGCACCGTCCTGAAACTGGCAGATGCCGAGATTCCAGACCCCCCTGCCATCAGCTTCGTGAACAACATCTCACGGCTCAACAGCATGTGGGATGACCGCACAGTCCACTGGGAGGGGGAGTCTGTCATGAATATTCAAGGCCACCCAATCGCACTTGAGTACTGGCCCTTGCTGTACCGCTATGGCCGTGATCATCAGTGGAAGGGCACGAAGAGTAAGTGGACGGACTGGCGGGTAAGTGCTGCTCTTGAACCTCGGGCCTGCTACCACAGCTTGCTGATGTGCTCTGCGCCCTCGTTTCTGTTGCCCAGTATGTTGTTGAACGCTATCGGGAAGGCACCGAATCGCAATTCTGGGAGGAGTTCAGTGCTGATGGCAAACGCATGACTTATACTGCGATCGTCCAGAAACTATGTGTCAAGCGCAAGACGGTCCTTGCTGCAGCTGTTGAGCATGCTCGCAAAGAATATGGTGACGAGTTCGACGATCTATTCACATACTGGAAGGGTGGAGAAGAGCATGTGATGGTGAAACCATCAGCGGTCGCTAAACGATTCAATGAATTGGCTGGTGGACATGTTCATGGGTGCCACGAAGGACAGTAAATACTAGGGCTATGCAACTAACTTTTCATACGTACAAACTTTCAAGTTGAATGAAGGGCACATTTACTATCAGGTCCGCGTTTTTCAACAGTCTGGTGACTCTGGTCAGCCTCTATAGTCTGCGGAACCCATAGGTTTGATCTGAGTCGGTCACGTCTAGTACACGGAGAAAAATTAGTATGTAAGCACATAAGGGGCAACAGCAGCAGCATTAGGGGCAACATTATCTCTCTCTCTCTTACACGCCACTTCGACACCACGCTCAAACACACCCAAGGTACTGCTCGATTTTCATTTCTAATGAAGGACCAGTGCACTGAATCAGCACTAGCCTACAATGACAACACCATTCAAAGACTATGCCAGCGAGACAAGCAGTACTGCTGCTGTTGGGTCGAAGATCTCAGACACCGACATTCACAGCGGTGACATCATGCACTTTGCCCGCCTTGGTTTTGCAGCATCCATCAAGTTCCTTGCAGAGCAGCATGGTTTTAATGAAAGCATTGTTCAGAACGTTTACAAGCAACTTAAAGATTATGCTGAGGCAAGGGATGTCATCGAGATGATGCGAGATGATGCGGAGGAGCGGGCAAGTAGAGGAGATCTTAAAGCGAAACGAGGATGAGCCCATCGAAGAAAGGGATGAGAGCACAAAAGCAGACTCGGAGGACGTGGACGTCAAAGACGAGGAGGATTAAGTGGGCATTGCAGCATGATCTGTAGCAAGTATACAAGGTGTTTTGTTGATATAGTAGGCCTACAACCCAAATCATCAGGAGACTATGTCTCCACATCCTCGGCTTCCTCGTATGCGCATCTGTTTGACACTGAGCTGTAAAATGGGGTCAGAGTGTCTCGTCGTAGGTTGAGTAGACTGAGGTTTGGGTGGCACATGGGTGAGAGTGTCTCGTCGTAGGCTGAGTAGACTGAGGTTTGGGGTCAGAGTGTCTCGTCGTAGGCTGAGTAGACTGAGGTTTGGGGTCAGAGTGTCTCGTCGTAGGCTGAGTAGACTGAGGTTTGGGTGGGTCAGAGTGTCTCGTTGTAGGCTGAGTAGGCTGAGGTTTGGGTGGGTCAGAGTGTCTCGTCGTAGGCTGAGTAGACTGAGGTTTGGGGTCAGAGTGTCTCGTCGTAGGTTGAGTAGACTGAGGTTTGGGTGGCGCATGGGTCAGAGTGTCTTGTCATAGGTCAGAGTGTCTCGTCGTAGGTTGAGTAGACTGAGGTTTGGGTGGCGCATGGGTCAGAGTGTCTCGTCGTAGGTTGAGTAGACTGAGGTTTGGGTGGCGCTAGGTCGAGTAGACTGAGTTTGGTGATACTTCATCTAAAGCTTCTCCCGCGGAATGGCAACGTCAGGGGAGGAAAATAAGGATACACAGTCCCACAGATTAGGATGCAGGTAGATGTAATTGGTAGGCGGGGGGGTAGTACTCCTTGATTCAGTTGGAAGCCGGTTTAGAGTAAGGAGGAGATACAAGGTTTTCGTACATTCTACATAACACCTACTAAGCACAAGCACAGCACCTCCCGCACTGTGGGCACTTAACCATAGGTGGTCTGTTAGGGTCGAAAAAATGTTCCCGTGGCTCTGCAGGGTCATCGTTTGAAGAAATGAGATACTTCACTATGGTTAGGTTGGAGAACTCCGCGCTCCAACCTCCCCACTCACATATCCTCCTTAGTGGCCAGCATTTTTTCGACGTGGAGGTACTGACAGCCACCCCTCCGGAACGAGTGGGTACCATAAGGGGCAGGGTCAATGTTGATGTCCAGCAGATTGTTGCGAAATAACTCCAGGAACTGCTCAGAGGACTGACATCGTGCATCAGGAATTTGTACAGCTAGTAGGATACAGCAGGAACTCACCATTGGAGAGTTTGCTTCTGCTATGCGGTCACCGGACGCGATCTTTCGGAACAAGTAACCTGATGTGATCTTGGACTCGCTCAACCAGGCAGCAAGTGCTCTAACAGGGCAGATATGGGCTTCGCACGATGGAAGGGACCACAGGTGAAATGGCTTGATCTCTACAGGATAGTCAGTACGTGCACTACAGCACAAACACTCTTAAGTTCGACTTCGAAGCATCACGAACCTCCATTTTGGTGGGTCTTGCGGAAGGGGAGGTGCAGGACCATCCGGTCCTCATGCACTCGGAGATCGTGGACCTGAATCTTTAGCACTTCATCAAAACGGAGCATGCACAGGAATGACACCGTGTAGGCTGCCTGCAGAAGCCTCTGAACACGCCCACCACCCCACAAGTCCAAGCCGGATTGACCTCGCTCGCCAGGTTGGTATTTTCGGATGGTCCAGTTGTGAGCGAGGGTGGTTATGGTGGTACAACTTGAGCAAAATATCCTGCAAGAACTGAGTAATGGGTGAGTCATTCAAGGGCCAGAAGCAGCTCACCGATGTTATGGCACGAGCACTATTTGCAACTTCACCAGCTTGAACCTAGGGTTGGATGGTCATCAATCGAGAGAGGTGTCGGACAGGCAAAGAAAGCTTACCTTCCGTCTACGGAGGGAGCACATGTACGATGACACCTCGACAGATATCGACGGGTTGCCAACCATAAGCCCACCTCCGGCATCCGACTCATGCCAGGGCATGTTGCCCAGACCATTGAGCCTCCCGAAAGCATATGTCATCGACGCACGCATCTTCTGTGCATGACCATATGTTCCGCGGTCCTGGGTCGATGGCTTCGTTGTGCCATCAATATTGAGGGAGTCACACCTTTGAATCGATCAGCATGGCGAGCCCATGGCATCTCGCAAGACAAACTTACATATTCATGATCCATGCAACGATCAGCCACGGCGCATCAGCGCGTGGCTTTTTGCAGAAAAAATCCTCGTTGCTCCCCAGCAGACGGAGGCCAGTAAGAAACGCGACACATGCGTTCATCAGCCTGCAAGTAGTCCATGTCAGCATGCCCAAGCCAGTGGGTAAACACGACAAACCTTTTGTATTCTGCACTGGTGCCTTCAGTGACACCCTTTGAGGCATCCATCAGCGTTGACTGCAGTCTTGCGAAGTCAGGTGCATCTATTGACTTCACAGACATTGACGGGAGGGGAGGGTCCATGGTGCAGACATTGTCGGATACCCTGTCACTCGGCTCGACAAGGGTTTCCTGCTCAGCCGCAACATCCTCAGTGATATCATCCATTTCAATACCACTAGCTGATGCAGATGGGAGCACGTCACGCAGGCCAGGAAAGTGCCATACTGAGTTGGCTGCGGCAGCCATGGTCAACGGACTTGAAGAGTGAAAGCTGAGAGGCCCCTCTTGGACTGCGCCAAAGAGAGAATTGGATTTGTAATCAAGCGACTCGTAACAACAAAGAGGCTCGGAAGTGGTCAAGGAGGAGGATAGCAGGAAAGAAATGAAAAAGACGGTCCAATTTTCGGATCCAAGGGACTGTCCTAGCGCACGCAAAGACCGTCTTTTTTTCGACCCGATGGGCTGCACTCCAGCCATCCTCCCTCAGTTTTGCAGGCAAGCACGCTCGTCCACCATGTGTTTCTCAGGTGAAAAAAGATGTTCGCATCTGGGCGTGACATCGGTCAGTTCTTCGGACCCACTGGAGAGCTTCAACAACATCATGTTGACGGCACTCAACGGCAGTATAAACAGCGGGCGCTGGGAGTTTCGGTGAGTGAAGTTCGGTGGTAGCCAATATCGAAGCATCCCTCACCTTTGATGCATCAGGGTAACCACGCAAACGGCCGGGTGGCACCCAGATGGTGCAAAGTCCACGATGCGGAAATCGTGACGTACAAAGCTGGGGAGGGGAGGATCTGTGCTCGAAGGGAATTACGGATCCGGCCAGTTTCAGAAGACAGGGAGCAACTGACGGCATGGGACATACCTGCCATGCATATATTTCCTCCCTTCCTTCTTCAGCTGCTCCCCCCTCACTCACTCTTTCCTTCCCACTTCGCCAACTCAATCCGGTCCTTTCCCACTGAAAACCCTCCTTTCCAAATTTCCCTGGTGCTACGGCTGGTCCCTGGAAAATGCCCTCAGTGAGTGACTGCGACTTCCATACCTTCGCGTCCGAGTTCCGTGATGCCCGCGACATCTGTTGGCTCACGGCTATGAGTTTGGGGCGGAATCGTTGGCCTTAGCGCTTCAGGGCGCCTTCGTTCTTGTTTGCCCCGGCCAAAGCCCTCTCGTTTTCTCCAGGCGCGGGATCAAGCGTTGTTTGTAGGAGCAAGGGTCGACGGAGGTTCCAAGGCGGGGGGGGTGACGGGTGTCCTCTGAGGCTGCTGACGGCTCGTTAATACGGATCGTCGATCGAAAGAGGATGAGGGCATCGGTCACGACGTGACCGTTCGTGACTCGACCGTCGTTTTTCGAGTTTGAAACCATACTTCTTCACAGGATAGTACTCTGATTCACCATAGCATTGGGTGATGACTTCCAAATCAAGTACAGGATCGCCGTGCAGGAACATTGATTGCAATATAACGTAAGCTGTATCTCTCATGTACCATAATTGAATCAGGGGGCGATAACTTCTAAATCAAGTACAGCAACGCCGGATATCATAGTATTGGGTGATGATTTCCAAATCAAGTACAGGATCACCGTGAACGAACATTGATTGCAATATAACGTAAGCTGTATCTCTCAGGTACCATAAGTACCATACCGGTGGGAATTCCCGACTGGAGTGATGAGTGCCCTGTTACCCTTCCGAAATACTTCGGCTTCCAAAAGCTCCCGAAAACAAGGTACTATTATGGTACGCGCAATCGGCAGCCCCCAGAAGTCGGCACTTTCACAAAACTCGTGTTTCCAGCTACCTAAACACAAAATTATTTACATAGACATCATTCTCTCTCTAACACAACTCAATACGAGGTCAAACAAATACATTTGAAGCAGAATTGAATGAGATAGCTGAAAGTGCCGAAGTCACGCAGAAATGTCACCTGCCGATATATGCCGTGACGGAGTTTCAATACTGCACACACCAGTGCCTTGCCAGTGCCGACTGGTGCTGTGCTGCTGGTCATGGGGCTAGAGCAGCGTGAAAAGGATAAGGCCGACGCGGAGAAGCAGGCCAAAAAGAAGACAGAAGATGAAGCGCGCCACACTCAGATCGAACGCGATATCGAGTCGAAGACGTTTGATGCACTCTCAACACTCCGGCGCAAGGATGATCATTTTATCGCACTTGCTGGCGCTCTCAAGATTTCAAGAGATGGAACGGTTGAGGAACTCAGGACTAGACTCAGAGAGTTTCTTGCTGATGCCGCAAATCAGCACTTTGCCTACAATCCACGTTTTGCTGCGCTCTTCCAGACGGGAAAAACGCGTTCGAAGAATAAGAATTTAGCCACTGCGTCATCGACAGGACAGGCTAGTAGTGGCGCCTCGCATAGTGTACCGTGGATAACCCTCTGGAGAGTTATCCACCGTGGATATCCACCCTGGAGAAATTGGGGGTCAGTTATCTACCGGTGAGTATGGTGGATATCCACCGCCGGCAAAACCGGCCCGGTGGATCCGGGCCTATCCGGGCGCTGCAAATTTTCAATCCATGGCGCGTTTTGCGAAATTTGCGTTCATTCACCAGTATTAAGTAAATATGTATCATATAACATCTATTCCATGTCCCAATCTGCCTCTGTCAAGACCCTCTCTTGCACAATGGTGCTTGCTGGTGGAAGAACGACAGTGCTTCTTGGCGCTGCAGGTGCCAAATCTTTATCAGCCAGCACGTCGACTAGTTTCCTGGAATTGAGATTGATGATACTGGCAGCATCGAAATCTTCACCGTCGAAAGAATCAACTTTACTTGAGCCATCTTCTGCTATATCCTCGGGGTCAGCAGTGACATCTGAGTCTGACCTAGGGATTCCTTGGCCATAGCGGTCCGAACACGATCCCGTAGCGTTGAATCGATTTTGTCCAGTTTTCCGCATTGCAATGCATGTCCGAATACTCGGGTCTTCCAGCGAGGTGCAGCCCAGGTTGTGGCGCATCCATATTCAGCTCCAGAACACCGAACAATCATCTTGGGATTACTTTTGAGGTACGTGTTGACAGAGAGAAGATCCATCAGAGGATCAACTTTCGCACCACCTTTTCCCTTCGCAGGTTTATGTTCGGCATCTGTGTATAGGTGCATGACAGACACGTCGGACTCGACAATCTTGATCTTTTTCTTCTTCGATGCCTTGGCTTTTTTGATTGGGGAGCTCACAAGCTCTATGTCCGGATCGTCATTTGACTGATGCAAATACTTTGGTAACTGTATGGTGCGTCAGTGATGAGTTTTTCTGGGGTGCGAAGTAAATGTAATTCACAGCTTTTCCAGCAGCAAGAATGACACTTTGCGCAGCTTCGAGGATGTCATGCACCCACTTCTCGAGGATGATGTCACCTGGACATTTTTCGATCCATGTTCCCAAAACATCCACTACGGCCTCTATTTCTAGACCTCGCTCTACAAGTTTTAGGCCATTGACGCGATTACCAAGCCTAACTTCTAACTCTCGGTTGACAGCACCAGCCTCGCCAATGTCTATAGTCCATTCAGCATCTGGGCTGAAGTCGGAGAACTTGTACTTGGATTCTGTTGCCGGTGGAACAGGAATGTCCGTTGGCAGTGCCTTGAGACATTGTCGCAGCTCAACTAGTTGATCTTTGAGGTGTTGCTGCATGAAAGTTTTGTGGATCACGAATCACGAAGCTCGGCTGGGGGGATAAATGACTTGAAGTTCACACTATTCCATCCAATTTTCACGTCGATGTTCGACCAAACAAACATTGCTTGACATTCCACCAACTAAGTAGGCTTGTAGATTCGCAGTGTTCGATAATTAAGCTTTTTAAGAGTATTTAGTACTATTTAGCGTAACCCTGCGCATGTATACTGTTATTTGAGTTATTCACATAATCCACCCTATCAATTTTGACCTCGAGTTATCCACCTAGTTATTCACGTGAATAACTGGGTGGATATCCACGCAGGTGGATAACTCGGTGGATTTCCACGGTACACTAGCCTCGCAAGACAATGACGCTACCTCATCCAACACTTCCGGTACTCATTTTTTCACCCCACCTGCCAGTGCACATTCTTTTAATCCATATTATCCTCCACACTTTACTAATCAGCCATATTTTCATCAATTCTATGCTAATCCAGCTCTCCGCGCACCATCTTACTCTACAACGCAACATAATAATTCATCCGGCGGTCCCATTGCGTCATCATCAAACTTGGACAGACAACCTCAGCATCCTTACAACACACACAGTCTCCCTACACATCCCCCTCAATTATACAACTACGGTACTAATCATGGTCACCCTCGTACTTAGATTCTACTAGTATATACTGTACTTGCTTGCTCACGCCGAATACTAACTCACTTCCTTGCGCTCCTGCTTGACTGCCGAGCTGACTTTGAAACTGGCTCAGTAACATGTCGTGACTTACTGTGACATTTGCGTGACTGCCGACTTCTGGGGGCTGCCGATTGCGCGTACCATAATAGTACGTGCAGCGTAACGTAAAAACATAATGACAAGACCTCGAAAACCTTGTCAACTGCGAATTTACCTCCGACTTACCCGAGTAGTAGGAACATCGGCGGCAAAAACCTCTTGACTACGAACAGGACAACTTTCTGGCGCTTGTCAGCGCCAACGACGATTCGTCTACATGAAAGTCGCCATCTAAACCTCAATCAACTCAACCTATGACTTGGGTTCATTACTCATATTTTTGCTTGTCCAGAATACCCGCTGTCCGTGCTCATCTAGCTCTCAAGTCAAGTTTTATCAGTGCATGCGGCGGCGTGTGCCTGTGCGCCCCGGGCCTCCACCGCACCAAACTCCATTCGTCCATCACCTTCGCTGCCCTCGTCCTTCTCTGGTGATTGAAGGTGTGCTTTTGGCGCCCACACCCTCGTATGGCCACCATCGTCGTTCTCCGCCAAAGCCTGCCCACCCTCCCCCAAATTCATCTTACATTATCTCGCCAACAACGCCGGACACGCCGCCACCGTGTTATTCAACATTGACATCCCCGGCCTCAATCGCATCTCCCCCAGGTATGGAGAATTGTACTGCTCGTATCTTATATCATCGCCAGGTATTCCAAAACAAGAGCCTGCGCCGGTACCACCGCCATCCTCTGCCACACCCGCGAGCTCGCTTTCCAGATAAAAAACGAGTATTCCCCTCGCAACTACTACAGGACAACCTTTTCGCACTTGTGAACGGCAACTCAAACGGCATTGATGACTTCGACGTGTTGTCCGTTTGGGGGATCCTTCTTCGAAGTTGGATGAGCTTAGAACATAGAGACCTGATGATTTGTTTGGGAATAAAATTGTGTCTCCATGATAATGTTCAGTCTTTGTTGTGATCAATTTTACTTGCATTTTCTTAAATCACCTTCCATCTTACGTAGTTTACTAAGTAGAATAAAGGAAGTGGAAGAGAGAATGTCAGTGGGCGACGGCATGGGCAAAATGTAGCGCAGGACCGCTGCAGGTACCTTATGTTGCTAGAAGATAAACGGACTTAAGATTTACTTGGCTTAGGAATACTAGACCGGGGAATTGCTGGGGTCTAGGGCTGACTCAGACTCCTACCCAGTCGGCGGTGTGTAGAGAGCCTTAATCCTAATTAGCCACACTGTGAATACCTAGCCGACTGGCACAACTTGGAGTGTGGCGAAGTTTGGCCGTGTTTGTAGTCTCCTGTTTGTGTCAGCTCAACGCACAAAGCGGAAAATAACATAAAGGCAAGCAGAAGATTCGAACGCGGGTCGTAGGGTAAAAATCTAGCGTGACTTAGTATCTTCCTTCTCTTTTGGTCTAACTAGGGAGACTAACTTATGTCCGAACAAGAAAAATTCAAGTACATAACTTAAGTAACGTGGCAGAAAGAGATCAATAACATAAAACCGACAACTTCAGACTCGTAACTGAGATCACCTGAGGGCATTGAGATGTTCCTATATGTGCAGATCAGCCTGACCAGGTATTGAATCGCAAAAACTGTTGGAAACAGACCTTTGCAATTTTCTGTCCATCAGATAAAACAACGAGGCAAGGCTGCAGTCCCTTCAAACACCACTGCGCTTCAAACCAGGAGGAAAGATGATGGTCCCAGAAAACCTTGAATATGCGGTGGAGCCCATCGTCCCATGGATTCGGAGCTCGCGAGAGATGAAATGTCCAATTCTGACATGCATACTTCAGAGCCTCTGAAGCCGACCGATTTCTTTCCTGTACTTCGCTTCCTACCATTGCAAACGCAGCCATAGCATGAACGATCTCCACATCTGGTAGAAAACGATCTCGTGGAAACTCAGAGGCAGAGCGGTCGATGTGCCTTAACGCCAGAAACACCGGAAACGCCAAGAAATCGGGTAAATTCTTGAACTGCTGGATCACTTGAAAAGCTGGCAGTGGCAATTCTGGGAAGGTTGTATACTCGCGGATGGCTTCCAATGTACTCGAGAATTCTTCCATTGCAACCCAGACAGAAGTCGAAGGAGTCGACCGCTGCCCTGGATCATGGCACGTCTGCAACCAAGATTGTCCATCCTCGGTCTGCAGCCATTCTCGCCCACCTTGAGACTGTAGCCACTCATGTTCGCCCCGACACTGGGCATCTTTGAACTGGTCCAACCAGCGAGCTTCCGCGTGCTGAATCTGAAGCCACGCTCGCCTGGCCTGGGTGTGCAGCTGCGTTGGTCTTACTTTGGACTGCACCCACCTTTGCCCAGGCTGGGATTTGAGCCACTCTTTCCCGCTCCAGCTCTGCGTCCACTCTTGCCCGCTCGGGGCCCGTAGCCACTCCCGCCCGCTCTGAGTCTGGAGCCACTCCTGTCCGCTCCGAGTCTGGAGCCAGCTTTGCCCGTCCAGAGTTTGCATCCACTCTCGCCCCCCCCTGGGTCTGCATCCAGACTCGCCCAGGCGGGGTCTGCAGCCAATCTCTCCCGCGGAGGGTCTGCACCCAGTCTCTCCCGCTCTCAGTCTGCAGCCACACTCGCCCACCCTGGGTCTGCAGCCAGTCCCGTCCGCCCTGGAACTGCAGCCAGTCTCGTCCGCCTTGGGTCTGCAGCCAGTCTCGTCCACCCTGGGTCTGCAGCCAGTCTCGTCCACCCTGGGTCTGCAGCCAGTCTCGTCCGCCTTGGGTCTGTAGCCAGTCTCGTCCGTCCTGGGTTGGAAGCCAGTCTAGCCAGCCCTGAGCCTGCAGCCAATGTCTCCCGCCCTGAGTTTGCAGCCAGTCTAACCCATCTTGAGTCGGAAGCCAGTCTAACCCGTCTTGAGTCTCTAACCAATCATGCCCGCGCTGCGTCTGCAGCCAGTCTTTCCCTCTCTGGGTCTGTAGCCACGCACGCCCGTCCAGGGTCTCTAACCAGGATTGTAATTCTAAACTGCGATCTCCTCGAATCCATAACAAACTTATAAGAACACGCAGTGACTCCGGTGGCTGGACGACGAAGGCTAAAGTTTGTTGTAAACTCTGGGGGTCGTGGGGTTGTAGAGCTTGACTCTGCTTCTCCAATTCTGAGAGCGCATCCAAGAGGGCCGTGCTTTGTGGAATGTCTCGCATCATCAAGCGGAAAGACGACTGTGCGAGTAGGGAATGTGGCGGTGTAATGTATTGAACTTGAGGAAGGCTGTAGTTCAAAGGGTTGGAGGCATAGTCACGAACAGATGAGTGGTAAATATTCACAGGGAGATGGCTGTCGGAAGGAATATCCATGATAGACCGTAGCTGCACCAGTGTTGTCTCGACATCCCTGCCATGACTGGGGCCAAGAAGTTCCGAGATTTGTGAGATAGGTAGAGGGTCCGCAAGGGCAGCAACAATGGACAGGTACATAAATGCCCGAGGGGGGTCAGCACACGTAGCGAGGATACGGTCGTACAATTTGTACACTTCCCTTCCTGGTGGAAGTTCACTTGTTAGCTCCAGCATGAGCTGAAGACGATCACAAGGATCATTGTCCCGATCATCGATGAACCTCATTATCGTAGACGCTACGATGAAAAGTCTGCCTGCGGGACTCGCCAGTCGGGCCAGTTGATCCTTGGGTGGCTGCAGAAAACCTGAATAGCGATTTTCAAGCTCTGTGAAGGAATGCTGCAAGAATATGTAGATGTCATTGTCAACCTCTGTGCCGTCTAACGCAACGACACCAGCCCCAGAAGTGTCCACTGATATCTCCTCGACCTGCTGCACCTCTAATTTCTGAATGGCTTCACGGATGTGCGCTTCCAAGCGACTCGTGAGCACAACGTGGGTTGTAGGTAGTTCGGGACTACGAAGAGCTCGGCCAAGCAGGAAGATGAGCTCCGCGACCTTGGTTTCGGACGTACATTCATCAAGGGCATCAACAACGTACACCAAAGGCGGACACCCGCACAGCCTGAAGCGAAGTTTCCGGAGGGGTTGCAGAAAGAGCACCTCCATCTGGTCGTGAAGGGACTCGTTGGGGTTCAGAAGCGCAGGATTATCGCGTATAGCTTTGTTCACGTCCTCCCGAACGCTTGGATAATTGCTAGCAAGCTGATAGGCCAGTGTCACAAAAAAATAACCAGTCGTGCAACGTTTGGTATGCTTGCGGGAGAAAAAAAACGTTCCCGCGAGTCGCCCTCCGATAGTCGTGTAGTCTGTTACTCTCAGCGCTCTCATCCTCTCAGCTACTGTGAACGCAACGGCAGACTTTCCGACGCCTGCCGTACCATGCAGCCAAATGAGCCGACTCTTCTCTCGGTCGTCTAAAAACCCGTGAATACAGTGAAGAAGGCCCACCCGAGTTCCTTCCAAACATTTTGAATGGGGCCGGCGTTCGAGGGAGTCATATTCAGCACCCTTGACAGCGAGCTGGGACAGCTTCTCCCAGGTTCCTTCGACCGGTAGAGGAACTGTTAATGAGGTCAGAGGGAGAGGAGATAAGATAATATATAGATCCTGACGCGTTGGCAATTGTTTGTACTGGTAGCCGAAATCCATATCATTCAAAGTACTAAAGCACTGGTTGAATTGACAGCAAAGTCAGAGGTACTCAACGTACGAATTTTATCGAGGACGAAAGTCTAAGCCGTAACGTCAAGTTGGATCTTAACCTCGTGTACGAAGAATCAATACCTCGGCTGCCAGTGTAACTTGGATCGGTGTTGAACTATGGACATGCGCCCGAGGTGGAGATAGGAAAATCTAATGGGGTCGATCGGACGACCCGTTACAATATTCTGGAAAGCTTGCTGGATGATGGTGGAATGTGGAAACAAGTTATCAACAGGCGCTCAGAAACTCCCAAAACCAAAACTGAGTCCCCCGATACTGCTGTTGTGGTATATTTAGTGTTCCTCACACTTACTATTGAAACCGAATCCAACTATGGATGTCCCATGGTATTCAGACGGTGGAACAGCTTAGAATCCTTGATCTTGTGAGCAGCGATAATTCATACCCAGAACTTCATTAATAATCAATTATTGCAGCAGATATCAAAATGTACTTGAGCTCGAAGGTTCTACTTGACAAGTTGATACTCGGTGCTCAAGTACTTACTCGCTGAGGCCTGGTGCCTTGAACACCGAATAAGGAATTTGACCACTGCCACCGCTGCGCTCACATGACATGTTCTAATTGGTCGATACGATCATGTTTTCTGGGCAAGTCCATTTGTCAGAATGACACGCACCGCACGGCGCAGAGTCTTGGCATCCAATTTTGAATCAGCATGCTAGGTGAATAAGCAAGCGAGCACCGACACATACATTTATGACTACATAGTACTGTCATGTCTAGGCTTGCCTCCAGAACTATCAGAACCCTGTCCAGCGCGCGCTCTATCTCGAGTGGATTCGAATATGCTGTTCGGTCCTGCCAGTGGATTCAATTTTATCCACGCCTGTACGCGCAGCAGTACATCGTGGACCCACTCTCGCAACTGTCTCAGGCATTCCCCAAAAGCTGCACCATCGTTCAGCGTAGAATTATTGATGTACGTCCAGGTCGATCCATGTTCATACAGACAAAGATCACGCCTAACGATGATTCTCTGAAATTCATACCTGGCGTAGGAGAAAACTGAGCTCGCTCGGAGACCCAGACAATAAACTATATTTAAAATACATCCGCTGAGTACATGAATTCCGTGTGCAGTGCAAGATGTAGGGTGCATAGTGAGTGAGTGTGAAATACGAATATAAATGGGTATTAGTGATAGATTGTATGAGGGTCAGTGATAATGTCAGGTTGTAAGGGATGGTGGAGAGTACGCGCTTCAGACGAACACCCCACGAGATGGACGCCATCACCATCATGCAATCAGGAGACAAGTTAAACTCATCTTCGATGATCTGCGCATCTAAAGCGGTCGGCGGACCAGCGGAGGTAACCCTCACG